TAATGAATATGAGGTTCTTCCAAGCATTTGAGTTAGAGTTGTCTGCAGAGGGCTATTATTTAATAGGACCCCTTTCTTCTGCTTTAGTCCTATATTGAAGAATGTTCTTTTGGCAGCACTAAGAAAAATTGTTTAATTGAAATTATGTAAATAAATTTTAAAACTTCCACTGTTCTCAGATGCATATCCTTTCTTGGCTTTTGTTTTTAGCACACCATTTTGCATTTTATTCCCATTTCTTAAGTGAAAACTGCAATTCTGTCACTGTAAATCTACTATACTGTCAACTGAATTTGAGTCAGGTTTTAGGAGTCAGTGTCATTAATTCTGCTACTGGTGGAAAACTGACAATCAGTCTTTAAAATATGAGCAAGAAACTGAGAAATTTTGTGTGTGTTGGATCATTGTCTTCTAATAGTGTTTTTATTTGTGCATTATTGGATTGCTATGATTCTGCTAGTTGGGCAGAAGATGGTCTGTTTAAAATTATTGAACTTCTAATGAAATGCTGAAGGACGAAAGGAGCTTGTCCATTTGTAGTGATTGTTACGTGACTGGAGCTATAACATCATTCTCAAAGAGTTCAATTATAATTTCAGTGTTATGATTCATGTTTCCTTGATCAGTTACAAGTTTAAAGAAAAACTGGCTTTGTGTTTGCTGACTTGAGCCCATGATAATCTGTGATATGTGTGAGCACTATCTGCCTTCAAATCAAAACAGGCAGGACGGGGGCTGTGTCGCTGAACTTCCTCACTATGGCATTTCAGAAGTTCCTCAGCATTTTTTTAAATGCAAACTTCATCCTCCAATTCCTCACAGACATTTTATCTTTTGGAATGGTGAAATCTTGTAAATGTGGGATTGTCAGGTGCCTCACAAGGCTGGACCATTGTTTTCTGATGCAGGAAGGGACACGTATTCAACATTTGTGGCATGTTTTTACGTCTGTTCTGGAAGATCTCTACTGATGGTCTGATCCCCCTAATATCTCTAATAACCTTGTTATCCAGCTTCAAGACACTTTTTGCTGGTTCAGTCTTTAGCAGAAAAGAAAGCTGTTGGTTGACATTTTTCTCCAAAACCTCTTAATTATCTTGGACTGTAACTCTACCCTTACCAGTGTTGTGCTGTGTCACTGAACAAATGTAATTCCCAGCATGAAATTAGTCTTGATGATTAAAAAAAAAGTTCCTTGTGGTTTAAAACCTGTGAATCAGTAAACAGAAAGAGATTGTGCTCTGAACAGCAGCATTTGTCATTACTGTGAAGTGTCTTTCCCAAGGAAGTAGAGATGGAGGGCAAATATGGATGTAGCCTCACTACAACAAGAACAACAGTAATCAAAAGCCCAGAAACAGAGAAATCAACTGCCTTATGCAGACTTGTGTAGAGTGCGAGGGAGGCTTTAAATAATACAACAGTTCCAAGGCTTGAATAGCAAGTTCTCTGCCATGCACTGAGCAGCACTGTGTTACAGCCAGTGTCTGGAAGAAAAGAGAGTCTAGTTAATTCATGACCCAAAATCTAGTGTTTGTTTATTTTCAACCTTCCAAGAAGATCCTTTAAAGCACCATTGTTTTCAGTGGTTAGCTAAATGAGGTCAGCTTTGTTGGGAATATTATCTGAGGTTTGTCTGCTTCTGGCATCTGTTGCTACCAAGGCACTGTCTTTTTTTCAAGGTGAAATCAACATTTGAAGGGTGTGTGTCAGGCTTCTATTGCTAACACACTGCTTGAGGTTGAATTCCTGGTTTATGAGGTTAGTATGGAGTATGCTTCATATAACAAGAACTGTTCCTTGACCTGTGGTTCCACTGTGAAAAGTGTTTGGAAGAGATGGCACACACTCAATAATGTTTTCTAAAATAGTCCTTCCATTAGTGACAGATATTTGCTTTCAGTGAGCTGTATTGGTCTCGCATTAGAAGCAGAGTCTGTTGGCTTGTGCTCTGATTAACACACAAAGAGAATTGCTACCAATATTAAAGGTTCAAATGCAGCATCTGAACCAAAAGGGGATCAAGCTTGATTTATATTCCAAAGGTTTGCTTGCAAGGCTGTTCATGATTCTTTACTAAAACACTAAGCAACCCACTCTCACCCCTACTCTTCATACTTGTAAATTGAAAATAAGTTCTACGAATATTTGAGGTACTAAAACTATCAGAATTTTAAGTCCATCTTTCTGAGTAGAGCCATCTTTTGAGAGAAATTGAAAGTTTTAATATGCAGTGTAGAGCTTTTATTGAAAATTAAATTACCTATTTAGTTTGCTTTGTTTTTTAGATTTAATTTATAACATTGCACCTTTTGCCTTGAGACAACTTGATATGGCAAGTAAATACACTGGAAAACAGTTTCACTACAACAACAGAAAAATAATTATAAACTTTAGGCTTTATCTAGTTAAGATCAAGCTCTGAATTGAATTCTCTTAGTGTGTTGACAGCTGAAGATTTATGTCTTCCAGCTATATTCCTGTTGCAGAATTGACACAAGTGACCTCTCCAAAGAAGGTCTCTGTAACGGATTTTGCTCTGTTTACATTATTGCCATAAGGGTCATGATGAAGTACAGTACATTAAAGCTAATATATCACCTGCTGACAGTGGTCTTATCTTGTTGGTACCTCTCTCCCTTTCCCGGTATGGAAAAATGGAAACATTAAGAGTCTAAGGATGACAACAAGAAAATTAAATAATAGCTCTCAAGAGCTTTAGCATTGATGTCAGTACCCTGTGTGCACTCTGTTTTAGTGTCTGACCAAATGGTTATGTAATTTCTTTTTCTTTGAAGTTACTGAGAAAGTAGGTCTTTACTAAATGAGTGCTACCTGGGGATAGAAAGCAGAAAAAAAGCTGTTGGGTTCATCCAAGATCTGTGGAATCCATTATTAGAAAGGAGGTGGCTCAGGGTGGGAAAGAATTACATTCAGGTTAGATAGGCAGACAAGGAGCCAGTACCAAGAGGTTCTCCAGTGGAAGCATGGTGGAACTCTTGTGTGAGGAACAGGACTAAGTACCCTCCTGCTTCTCTGAATGCTGTTCCTTGTGCTCTGTGTACAGAATGGGTCATTCAGTCCTCGCTGTCAGTGAGATGACATTACTTATGGTTTGTTTTCTCTTCCAAATATTAAGAAAAAGTGTAATTACAGCCATTTTTCTATATGCATAAATATGTACATCGTTTCTAAATGTGCTTTGAATTCTCTCAACAGGGTACTTCCCAGGTATCCTTTCAGGATGGGGAGATAAACCTCACTGGACCCACAGAACTGTTGTTGGCTCAGAAGGCCCGACTCCCTGTAAGGTAGGAACATCTTTTCAGTGCTGATTCAAGTGTGGTTTATCAACATACTGAAAAAGACTGACTTCTCATTCCAGCTGCATCTGTGAATCTGCATTGTGCTCATCATGAGCTTTTCCTCCTCATCCCTTACTCATCCTACAAATGCACCAATTCACATACTGAAGCACTTATTTGTACATGACAATCTTTCACCCTTGGTGAAGACTGATTATTCCAGCTGCATCTGTGAATCTGCATTGTGCTCATCATGAGCTTTTCCTCCTCATCCCTTACTCATCCTACAAATGCACCAATTCACATACTGAAGCACTTATTTGTACATGACAATCTTTCACCCTTGGTGATGAATATGAATGATTTTATTGGTTTGTTTGCAGTATAAGGCTTTGGGGGAAATATGCTACTGTTGTAGTGCTTTTGCTTTCTGCTCAGTTGTGCAAGTATTTAATGTCTTAAGATACAGGATGTTCTTAGGTGGTATATTATATCTCAAAAAAATAACCATAGAATCCTAAAATTATCTTTTTCAGTTAAAATAACACCTCTGTTTTTGAGTAGTAAGCTTATAGTTTTGCTTCTGCTGTAGTAGATTTTATATCTGCGTCTGTACACCATGAAAACCATAGCAGAATATTTGCAGTATTTCCTTGTGCATTGCCTCATAGAGAACTCAGATTGAATGCCTCCTTTTCCTCTCTTCATTTATAAGAAAAAAGAGATGGCCAGTGCTGTTATAACTGAAGGTGGTAGTGGTCATATTGATAGTTTGGGAAATAACTTGAAATTTGACCATTCTAAATTTTCAGTGACACTTAGGTAAATATGTAACATGAATTGGAAGCCAATATGGTAAAATTTGAGAGCTACACATCTGAAACAAGAGGAAACTAGATGTTTTCAAGAGATTTAATAATGAGCTTTGAGATTTATTGTTCCTGAAATCAGAGGGAAAATTCTAAGTGGCTGAAATGAAATGGAAAAAATAATTTTGCAGGTTAAATTTGTTGCACCACAATTAACAAGTCAGGCTGCAATACATTGTCAGTAAGTAGGTCAGTCAGATCCTCAGTGGTCATATCAGATGATTTGTTGTGGCAAATTTAAAGCAAAATCTTTCCATACTGGTATTCTCTTGCTCCAACAAAAGCTTAAAGTTCAGTTTTGACTGGTGTTTCACGTTGTGGTAAAGTCACCTTTCTGAGTACTCAAATTCAGTCCTTTTTCCAGTGTATTGGGTTTTTTGCAGAACTCTAGTGATCTCATAGCAGTTGAATAATGAAATTAAGAGGCATTAATGGCAAACTTCTGTGTGACAGCTAAAATGTCAAAAAATAATTTGTTTTGATTTTGATGGTAGCAAATAATAATTTGCTATAATTTTGCAGCTTATTGTTGTTAAGATCTTATAAAACAAAAGCCATTAAACAGTATCTGCATGCCTTAAGCTTAGAGCATTTATCTTCACAAACTCTTGAGCAAAAGCAAGTATATTAACTTCTTATTAAAAAAAACCAACAGACCAAACAAAAATAAACAAACAAAAAAATTTTAACTTTTTAAAACCATTTTACCTAACTGGGGTCTAGGAGAGAGGCATGAAGTTACATATTCAAAGCCTGTAGGAAAGTTGGCAAGAGCAGGGACTCTAACTTTGGTGGTCTTCTGGGCCATGCCAGGATTTTAGGTCGAAGGATCACCATTGCTTTTAGACCATGTCAAAAATAATTTTTCTCCATGCAAGCAAGTTGATTTTCTACTATTTCTTGTTCTTTGATTCATCATTTAATTTATTGTACAGGAGACTGTAAGGTTGTGCTTTTCAATTCCCTTGTTTGTATTTTTCTTCCCTCTTGATGGCCTCCTTGTCACCTACTTTTAATGCTATTTTATAGTTTCTTCTCTTGCCTGCTAGTACTGATACGTATTTTTAGAATGGTCTCATCATGAGAAGGAACTGGAGTGCTCTTCCAGCTTTCTCTGCACCTGCCAGGCCTCTACATTACACACAAGCTGATTAGTGTTCATCATGCAGGTATACAACTTAGTCAGTTTAGTTGCTAATGCTTATTTTCTCTTTATGGAATGTTGCTAAAGACTTCTACAGCTTTTTTCACGTGAGGTAATTATTATGCATCACCAAATATATGCACTCACTTGTCTTTTGATCCGCTAATTTTTAATGGGTATTAATCAAGCCCTGTGCATGCTATGCTCATATTTACTGTTGTCCTTATGCTTTTACCTAGGGTGTTTCAGATCATTTAAGTCCTCCTAGGAATTTTCTGAGAGCACATTATTGTTTATCAAGTTAAACAAGTCATCGATTGCATTTAGGATTCCTCAGAAGAAGGTTGTGATACTCATATGCTTTTAATTTTCATAACCTAATTTTGGTGGCTATTGGAAATACTGACAATGAGAGTAACCTCTGTGACACTTTTCAGAGTTAGTCAGCTCTGAAATAGCCAGCTCTTCTCTGGCATGTTGCCAGCATTTCTTTACATACAGAGTTACAGTAAATATAATTGTACCAAAATATACCTTGCTAATGCTTCCCATATCCTGAGGAGATATTTTTTGTAAACTCTAATTTGCCTGTAAGTTTTGAGATGGGTAGTATGAAGATTTTTTCCCCCAAAATTGTGAATTCCAGTATTTGTAATATATTCCAATTTCTTTACCCAGTGAACTTAGGAGGAATTCAGAACATTATTTTGTAAAGCAAAGTTAGTTAATATATCTCTGAAATTCACTGGAATTTAACAAGCCAAACAATTTACATTTTAAGACAATTATTTTGATTCTTATGTAGCTTTTTCCTTAAAAGTGAAGACGATTTTTTAAAAACTGTTTTTATGAAAGCTTTTTTCATTAGGAGTAATGGGTTTATAAAGGAAAATAATTAGTAACTAGAGACCATTTATCCATCCTACTTGTAGCTTAATTTGATTAAATATAAAGAAGTGGTTTTTTTTATTAGATTGTATTAAATAATGAAACTATTTTTTTTCCACAAGTAGTAAAACTAGCATCTTAATATCTAATTTGATTTCTTTTACACTGTTCATTCTGAAGAAATGTATTATTTATAATTTTCATTTGTGCAGATACCTTTCTTTCTGTACTACAAAGTTGTTAGGGCCATGAAGGACCACCAAGCCATGATACCTTAAACCTTCATTTAAATAAGCCACATTAAGTGTTGCTAATGAAGCTAATATTTCAGCCTAATTGTGAGCTGCTCCATGCTACACAAGAAAACCACTATTGTCCCTGCTGCTTTCACTAGAAAATATTCATTCCTGTCAGTGGTTTTGATAATCCTTATTACCTATAACACTTAAGCAAAATAGCATCTAGTCACCTAAGAAAATTATCTGAGCCTTCTTACCAGAGCACCAACCTGTCTGAAGTCAGTGTTCCTTCTCAAATTGCAGCCAATAATGGGTATTTCAGAGGGAAGTGGAAAAAAAGAATTTCATTATTAATATTTTATGAATGTGAAGCCTAGTCAGTTGAAATTAAAGGTTTCAGACCTGTTTTATGTTTCTCACTCAAGTGGGAGAACTGTTTCTTTTGAAGAAAACCAGTTCACTGATTTAAGTAGGTAAAATTAATTGCACATTGAGTATATGAAGTGAGTGGCAGTGTGGAGGAATTTTAGCTTCTCTACTCAGAAGCTTATAGGAAGGAAGTTTCTTTGCCTGGATTCTGTGAAAACATTTAACTGTAAAAGTACTGGGAAACTTTTCAGGACTATATATCCCTCAGGAGCCTGAAAATGTTCATTGGAGTTTTGAGAGTTGAACTTTGCTAGAAGAGAGACTTGAATCATTGGGTCATTGGCATGTTTTTTAATGGAATAAAGACAGACAGGACTAAAGGCAGTTGTCTTGAAATTTCAGAAGGAAGGCTTTTTTTAATTATTATTTTGGGTTCACTTGTAAGGAGACATTCAGAATAAGGGAAGCCAAGCTAATGCCATCAGTGTATAAAATCTGGCCTTTTCCTACATATTTTGGGCTAGGACTGAAAGATTTTTAAAGTAGCAGCAGGGTTTTGGTACTCTACAGAAGTCTGGTAAAAATTTGTCACAACCTTTAACATTGAATTCCCACTATACATAGTAATACTACTTTTGAAAACTTTGCTTCTTTTAGTAAAAATTACTATGTTAAGGAACACTAAACACAAATCTGCTTGGAAGTGGATATTTAGCTTAATAGCAATGGATTAGTAGGAACTCAAAGGGTAATTTATGCATAGATAATTCATTACGTGTTTTCATTATGTTCTGTTTTGCTGTCTTCCCACTTCTGGCTAGCAGAGGTCAGGGTCAGTTCTTGGGTTTAAGCACTATAGATACATAATTAAAGCGTAACTGCATTTTTTTCCTTCTCTGCATTTTCACTTTTTTTTTTTTTTTTTTTTTTTTACATTCTGTGCCTTTCATTAGCCTAACACCACAGAAGTGTAACAATTTGAATTAAGGGGAAAAAAAGACATGCATTCCTCATTCCTTCAGGCTGTCTGGTTTCTTTCTAAACCTTTAGACAGTTAATCTCATGAGAATTAACTAATTTTTGTGGGTAAAAAATCTTGATTACAGTAGCATCTTGACTAGATTAATGCATTTTAGTTAGGAGAGGGTGATTGGTTACCTCTTCAAATCTGAAACTGGAAGACTGATATTCTTTTGTAGTAAATATTTAAACTTTGGATAATTTGCTTAGTTCTGTGTAGAATGCAGTGGCTGAAATGTGCCTGTCTCCTCTGAGAGAGAACAGGTTCTTCAACTGTGCCTGGAAAGCTCCTTCTTGGCTCTGCATGTTCAAATTGCTTTCTCCTCTCCTTGTAGGATGCTCTCCAACCTTATTTAGATATGGCTCAGATTTCCATCATTAGAATGTATTCATGCTGTTTCACATCTTGAGCTCCAATTTATTCTTCAGGGCATCCAAGACATTTTAATCAGAGCTTAAAGCATCTAGTTTAAAAGA